TTTATGGGAAGAAACCTTGGTAGGCGTTGTTCTTACCATAATGAAGATGGGCATATGACTCAAGGCTGCAGAGCCTTGAAAACATACTTGGAAGATCTGGTGAGACAAGGCCATCTGAGAGACCTTGTTGATGAGGCCAGGACAAGGGAAGAACATGCAAGATTGCCTTAGGCGACAGTAGCTCCACATCCCCCAGCATAGCAACCATAAGCAGGAGGACCTCGGGTAATTAATGTAATTCACTTGAGAGTCAACGAAAATGAGATTTGGGGGGAGACCCAGAAGGTAAAACATCTGCAACATGTCTACCAAGTCGGGGAAAAGATACATCAGACAAAGGAGTGCCAAGGACCAGTAGTGTCCTTTTCTGAAGCCGACCTTGAGACGGTGCAGCACCCACATAATGATGCCTTGGTAGTATCCCTCTAGGTTGGGGAATGCCATGTAAAATGTATCTTGATTGACCAAGGCAGCTCTTGTGACATCATGTACGTCCGATGTTACAAGGAGCTTGGCCTTTACCTGGACGATATGAAGCAGTCCAACAGCCCAATGGTCGGGTTCAATGGAACGCCGACATGGCCACTGGGAACAACCAGCTTAGAGGTGCAGGCAGGCACCAGGAAGATAACAACAGAGTTCACCATAATTGACACACCCTCCCCTTACAACATCATTTTGGGAAGGCCATGGTTGAATGCAATGAGGGCTGTTCCCTCAACTTTGCATCAACTATTGCGGTTCCCAACAGAGTATGGGATTGAGGAAATCAAAGGAGATCAGCTACAGGCAAAGAGTTGCTCCATGGCAGTAATGAAATCCACCTGCAGCATTCGAAAACCAGAGAAGGCAGAAATCGAAGACGAGGACGTGGAGGTCCTAGAGGATGTCGGCAAGGAGCCGGCCGAAAAGAGTAAAGAAACACTGAAGAAAATCCTCGTCCAAGAAGAGGATGAAGAACGCTTCTTTCTTCTCGGCTCGAGCCTAGCCAAAGAAGAAGAAAGAGAGATAGAAGCTTTCCTGAGAGCAAATATTGAGGTGTTCGCGTGGACGCCCTACGAAATGCCTGGCATTGACCCCGAGGTCACTTGCCATAAGCTGAACGTCGACAGATCGGCCAAACCGATAGTCCAACGAACAAGAAGACCAACGTTGATACACGTTGAAGCAGTAGAGGAGGAAGTAGACAGACTTCTCGAGGCCAGGCTATTCGAGAAGTAGATTACCCGACATGGCTATCAAACACAGGGTGGTAAAGAAAAAGAATGGTAAATGGAGGGTCTGCGTAGACTTTACTAACCTGAACAAAGCCTGTCCCAAAGACAGCTTCCCTCTACCCAAGATTGACCAGCTGGTAGACGCCACTTCAGGGCATGGAAGGACGAGCTTCTTAGATGCATACAGGGGGTACCATCAGATAGCCATGTACCCCCCAGATGATGAGAAGACTGCGTTTATCACTCCCAAAGGGCTGTACTGCTACAGAGTAATGCCTTTCGGGTTGAAAAACGCAGGAGCAACTTACCAAAGACTGGTAACCAAGATGTTCAAACACCTGACTAGCAGAACGGTGGAAGTCTACATTGATGACATGGTCGTGAAGACCAAGGAACCTGGAGGTCATCTGGCCGACCTGAAAGCAGTCTTTGACATCCTTAAAACATATCGACTCCGATTCAATGCAGCGAAGTGTGCATTTGGAGTAGGATCTGGTAAGTTTTTAGGATGCCTGGTGACTAGAAGAGGCATTGAGGTCAGCCCAGATCAGATTAAGGTCATCCTGGAATTAAAGAGCCCGATGTCAGCAAAATAGGTACAAATGTTGACTGGAAGGGCCGCAGCCCTGAATAGGTTCATAAGTAGAAGCTCAGACAAGTGCAAACCTTTCTTTAACTTAGTGAAGAAAGCCACAGATTTCTTATGGACAGAAGAATGCGAGGCCGCTCTGGCCGACCTGAAGAAGTACTTGACCACAGCTCTGGTCCTCTCAAATCCAAAACTTGGAGAAGAGCTGTTCCTATACTTAGCAGTTTCAGAACACGCAGTCAGCGCAGTGGTAATCCGAGAAGAAAAATGGGAGCAACGAGCTGTTTACTATGTAAGTAAAACCCTAGCCGATGCAGAAATGAGGTATCTACCCTTAGAGAAATTGACACCGGCTTTAGTAATGGCTTCAAAGAAGCTGAACCATTACTTCCAGGCCCATAAAATTGTGGTGCTAATAGAGCACCCCTTGAAGTCTTTGCTACAACAAGAAGGCTTGACAGGAAGAATAGCCAGATGGGCAGTGGCTTTGAGCCAGTATGACTTGGAGTACAGACCCAGAACAGCAATCAAAGGCCAAGTGTTGGCCGACTTCGTGGCCGAGTTCACACAAGAATCCATCGCACATCGGGCTCCGTTAAGCCGAGGTGAACGATGTCCAAGCAAGCAAGGAGAAGCCCAGCCAAATGCAACAGAACAACGGAAAAAGAAAAAACTCAGACCCTGCAGCATTTACATCGGTGACTCCTTTCGACTATTTGTCAATGGGAGCTCAAATCGGCAAGGAACGGAGGCAGGAGTAGTACTGGTATCTCTAGATGGGGAAGTATTGGAACAGTCCATTCGATTGGGGTTCAAGGCCTCAAACAATGAAGCAGAATATGAAGCATTCATTGCAGGACTAAAGCTGGCGGTTGCAGCAGAAACAGATGAAGTAATAGTCTTCTGTGACTCCCAGTTCATAGTCAACCAGACAACGGGCGAGTTTGCAGCCCGAGATGAAAGGATGTCAGCCTACGCAAAGGAAGTCAACAGGTTAGTAGTTTTGTTTCATAATTGTCAACTACATCAGGTTAGCCGAGATGATAACAGCCACGCCGATGCACTAGCCAATCTGGCCAGTGCAATACAACCTGGAAAAGCAAGGACAATAATGGTCGAATACTTGTCGGGCCCGAGCATCGAACCACTGACCATGGAGCACGAAGCAATGTGTGTGGATATGAGACCAAGCTTGATGATGCAATTGTTGCATTCCTGAAAGAAGGAAAGCTGCCAGATGACTACAAGGAAGCACACAAGTTCAGATTGAAGTCGGCAAGATTCAGTCTAACAGCAGAAGCGCATCTCTACAGAAGATCTTTCACTGGACCCCTTTTAAGGTGTGTACACCCATCACAAGTTGAAGATTTTTTATATGAAATACATGAAAGAATCTATGGAAGCCACACTTGGGGCAGATCACTAGCCCATAGGGTCATTACCCAGGGGTATTGGTGGCCCTACATGCAAAATGACGCAGAAGCCTATGTCAAGAAGTGTGAAAAATGCCAAAGGTTTGCACCACCGATACACCAGCCAGCAGCAGACCTTAACCCAGTATCCAGTCCTTGGCCATTTGCCCAATGGGGCATGGATCTCGTTGGGCAACTGCCCCAAGCAACTGGACAAAGAAAGTACCTGCTGGTAGCAACAGATTACTTCACCAAGTGGATAGAGGCTGAGCCCTTAGCCAAGATCCGAGATATAGACGTGAAGAACTTCTTGTGGAAAAACATCATCACTAGATTTGGGATTTCGAGAGCAATAGTTGTTGACAATGGAACACAATTTGACAGCAAACTAATCAAGAACTTCTGTGCAAAGTTCAAGATCAAGAACTACTTTTCAACCCCAAGCTTTCCTCAAAGCAATGGTCAAGCAGAAGCATCCAACAAAGTAATCCTAGATGGGATAAAGAAGAGGCTGTAGGTAGCAAAAGGAAAGTGAGTGGATGAACTACCAAACGTGCTCTGGGCATATCGGACTACGCCGAGAAGATCAACGGGGGAATCCCCCTTTACCATGACCTATGGCACGGAAGCTGTCATTCTGCTTAAAGCCGGCACCCCTGGGATCAGAACCCAGGGAGTAGAAAGTGGGACTAATGATATACTCTTAGCCCGAGGTCTGAATCTACTAGAAGAAAGAAGAGAGAAAGCTGCAATTCAGCTCGCAGCCTACCAGCAGCAGCTTGCTAGAGCTTATAATAAGAGAGTCAACCTAAGGGAGTTCCAAGTCGGCGACCTAGTCTTGAGAAAAGTCGTCGGCAACAAGAAGGATCCCAGGGAGGGCAAGCTTGGCCCAAACTGGGAAGAACCCTACAGAATCACTTCGATATTGGGCAACGGGGTACATCGGCTTGAAGATAGTGAGGGCAAAGAGTTGCCAAGACCTTGGAATACTTGTAATCTGAAGTTTTTCTACCATTAGATTTTTCTTGTTATTTGCCGATGTCATGAATAAAATTTTAGCAGAATTCTTCTATATTTGTGATTGATGAAGATACATAACGTTGTTTCGGAATATGTGCATAATGAGACCCCAAGTTGAACTTAGGTTCACATTAGGGGACATAGAGAAGAAATGATGTTTAACACTTGTTGAAACTTGAGAAAAGTTTACAAGTTGAAGTTAAACCGATATGATGTTCAACACTTGTTGAAACTTGAGAAAAGTTTATATATGATGTTTAACACTTGTTGAAACTTGAGAAAAGTTTACAAGTTGAAGTTAAACCGATATGATGTTTAACACTTGTTGAAACTTGAGAAAAGTTTACAAGTTGAAGTTAAACCGAAGTGATGTTTAACACTTGTTGAAACTTAAAAAGTTTACAAGTTGAAGTTAAACCGAAGTGATATTTAACACTTGTTGAAACTTAAAAAGTTTACAAGTTGAAGTTAAACCGAGATGATGATACTTGTTGAAACTTGAGAAAAGTTTACAAGTTAAACCAAGTCTGTATGACCAAGGTGTGTTATCCCGAGAAAATTGCACAAAGATTGAAGTGTATACTAAAGATATATTTTAAGTATGGAATCATACAAAAGTAATACAGAGAAAGCACAGATACAAGCATTAAGGGAAGGAAAGTTGTATTAATATTCAAAAAAGGCACGTCGGCTAAAACCTTACAATTGTTCCTAGAAAAAGAAAAGCAAAAGTACAAAAGACAGAAGAAAATGACATCAAAATTAAGAGTCTTCAGCAGCAGGCTGGATTTGGACCTCGGATGACTGCTGAGAAGACACCTCGGCCGCCTTTTCTGCCGCAAGCTCAGCATCAATCTCTTGAAGGGTTTCGTCTAGGCTCTTATCGGCAAGAACCACGTCGGCTGGTGCCTTCTCAGTGGTAGCTTCCTTAGGGACCTCCTCAACGTCCTTGTCCTGAGTCAAGTCTAGGACTTGCTCATTTTGAGGAAGAGACTTGGCCTCAGCAGCTTCCTTGGGCTTCCTTACCAAAACCTCCTCCTCGGACTCAGAGTCGTCGTCGGCAGGTTGGCTTGGAGTTGGGGGGAATGGCAGAGAAATGACATCGGGATTCCTGAGGGGGGAGTTCTCAGGGACATCAAGCCTTTTCAGCAAGGTTATCCAGCCAAGGGTGAAACCCTTGTTGCATGTCTACTTCACTTGCTTTTCGTAGTCCGCCGTGACGTTGGCCACCCCCTCGTTGTAGCCCTTCTCATCGGCAGCCTTGACTTCGGCCTCTTTGGTGGCCAGGGCATCTTGAAGCTTCGTTTGGCCCTCGGCCATTTTTTCCTCAGCCTCTTTAAGTTGGGCTTGAAGGACTTTGTTTATCGCCTCAACAGCACCAACCTTTTCTTTGGCATCGTCCTTGGCTTTGATAGCAGCCTCGGCCTGATCTTCCAGCTTCTTCATTTTTGATTGTAAGCCTTTGTTGGCCTTTTGAAGACTGGAGACCTCTCTTTTCATCTCGGCAAGCCTCTCCCGGTTCTCAAAAGATTGTATTGAGAACGAATGGGCATGCTGGATGGCCTGAAAGTAAACAGAACAGAAGCTGTTAAAAAAATTACAAGTATGGAATGAACAGAAAGAAAGAAAAAGTTACAGGATAAAGACAACGGAGCATTGAAGCATCAAAGCGTAATTCTCATACTCGCTCAACTTGGCGTTTCGATCAAGGTCGCCAGGGAGGAGTAGAGCGGTGCTGAGGGCTACGCCAACGTTGATATCGTCAGCACTATCATTAGCCATAACTGGCTTATCTTCCAAAGTAATTTTGGGTGCCTAGGGGGCATCTTGTTTTTTGGACCCCGAGGTAGTTGTAGAGGATGACCTCGGCCTCTTTGATTTCGGAGAATCAGATGGTTGGGCCTCGGCACGCCTCTTCTCCACGGTAGGCTGGGACTTGTCACTCTTCGCCAGTTTGGAGATCGGCAAAGTGTCCTCAGTGTCAACCTGAGTCACCCTGGCTTTTGGTTGAGCCTTTTTGATTCGTTTTTGTTTTGGTGGAGGCTGGGTTTACGTTAGCTGAGCATCAACGGTTGATGGGATACTGGCCAGAAGATCTTTGGCAACAGCTCTTTGACGGCCCATCTCGGCGGGAAAAACTGTTCGACGTCGGCGACGGCACTGGGATATCGGAATCAGGTATGGAGCCGAGGTTGAAGGTTGCTCAGCTGGATCAGAGGTTGATCCTTGGTCTGTCTGAGATGTGGACGCAACTTGTGGAGTTGTGGCAGAAGGTGGAGACAGGCTTTTCTTCTTATTTTTTGGGACATCGGGGAGAGCTGACTTGTAAGAGGGGATAAAGTTGAGAAGCAGAGGGGCCTTCCGCTTGTGAACTGGTAAATTCAGTAGTTTCTTTAAGTCTTTGCTGGGAAAGAAAGACTGACGGAAGCCCTTTGGTGGCTGAGGAAGAACTGCAAAGAAGAAAAAAGCATAGACATTAGAACAGAATGTTGAAAACTTTATATAAGAAAGCAAGAAAATTTGTGAAGTGTGGCCCTTATCAGCTCCTTCCCCGAAAACTGTTTGACTAAGGGGATAAAGATGAAGGTCATCATTTGGCTGAAACTCTCAGTTTCCCGAGACGATGAAGTAATCATCCCCTGCTCCCTTGTTGGAGTCAGGGAGGTCGGCAATGATTTTGCATTCAGTGGACCTCGACTTGAGGCAATAGATGTGGACTTTTTCCGATTTTAAGCGACACATGGTATAACAATACTGGAAATCGGCAAGAGTAATCCTAGAACTCTCTTGTTTGGCTAAAGCTATGGTACCGTTAATTACTCGGTAAGAGTTGATGGCAAGTTGCATTGGGTTCAACTTATAGAAATGAAGGATTTGATGGAAAAAAGGATCAAGTGGAAACCTAAATCCATACTCAATAAATGCAACCACTGGGAAAGGCATGAGGTTTTCATCGGGCATAATAGAGTCATCCTCCCCAGCCAACCTCAGATGAACGTCGGTCGGGATTTCGAACTCCTGCCTAAAGTACTCTAATTTTTCTGGGGTGTTTACCCTATGTTCCCACATACCCATGACGTCGGCTTAAATAGAGGTATCGGATTTCAGGAAGAAGTATTTTTAAGGGTTTAAATGACCTCGGCTAAAAAGCTAAAAGTGTACTATGATAAGGGTTTGTATGGATCTAGAAGGAGTTCGTTTCAGTTTTTTCTAGCAATTTGTGGGTTTTACAAACAAGTCCCAAACCTAAAACTATGGAGATGAAGATTGAAGGGACGAATCTGGGAAAAAGAAAAATAGGGATCCGTTTCAGAAATAAGAATGGTGATGAAGTCATCAAGAAATCAAGACAAAAAGTTTGCACAAATGTATCAGGCCAAGAACAGTGGCACAAACCAACAGGTATGTGAACAGCGCGAGTGTTCAAGATATGGACCAAGAACAAAAATATGAAATAAACATGCTCAGATACATGATCCGTGAATCAAATATTCAAGTAAAGCAACAATGACAACTAATGATGAAGCAAAATTTCATGAAACACAACAAGAACTAAAAACCAGGAGGAATGGTGACTTACCAGAGAAAAGAAGCCAATGCCTGAGATCGCCGAAGTCAGAAGAACGGCGGCAGCGGAATAGATTGGCAAGAACTTCGACGGAAGAAATGGATAGAGCAAGTTGCAGAGCTTCAGAGCTTGGAAAAATGGAGGATTAGAGGAAGCTAGAGAGAGAAAGAGTTCTGAATAAAGACAATGTAAAGTGAGAAAAACGAAAGGGGGAAACAAGTTTTGTAAAAAATTAAAACGGCGGCAAAAATAGGGCAATTAATGCGCCTGGAACAGCTAATACGTTAGACGGCGCATATAGGTGCGAGACGACTTACGAACGCGTAACAAGTACGATCCAGTAAAAGGAAGGCACGTGGCCTAAAACGGTTGAGTTGTTATGTATAACAGCTCATACGCGTGAACAAGCTCTTGGAATTCTTGATCTCTAAAAAGACATATCGGCCTATGATGATGATCTCGGCTAAACCGATGTACTGGCAGGAAGGAATGATATAGGTTCCATCACCTCAGAATGCCAAGGTAATAGAACCTAGGGGGCAGTTGTGGGGATATATTTTCCGAGTACCAACACGTGCCTAAGGTGACGCCGACGTGTCAGCCAATGTGCCACGTGTCCTAGTCATGACGCTGAGGTGATCTCGGCGAGGCCGATGTTACCTCCGAGGATATTGGAATCCGAAATAAGCGAATAAGGCACAAGAGTTCTAGAAAGGGGGAAGACTACAATTGGGAAAGGATAAAACTCTTAGGGAGTTTATCCTAATCCTACTGGGAGTCCAAGATTTATAGTAATCCTAAGTTCATTAGAGCCAGGCTCCTGTTGGGACAAGGATTGAGTTAGCTATAAAAGAGAGGCACCCCCGTGGGTCTAAGATACGCAATTTATGTTCTGAACAGTGAATTTAGCACTATTGATTATCTTTGAGAGGTATACTGACTTGATTGTCGGAGTGCCTCCGGGTGGACGAACCACCGCCAGAGTCTTTTCTTTCTGTGATAGGTTGTTTGGGTGTGATCTATTTTGTCGGTGTTCTCCAACTGAGTACCTGTATGGCAGTGTGGTCAGAAAATAGCACACACAGATCCCTCTAACCATACTTGCATTCTGGTGAAACTCTCTCATGAATTTAAGCACATCATATTTTACAATTCCCTAACATTTCTTGAATAATGCCATGTTGAACTCATCAGGCCCTAGGGCCTTATTGCCCTCACAACTCTTGATTACCTTTCTAATTTCCTTCTCTATAAAATCATCCTCCAGTTGTTCCACCACTTAAGCACCTCCAATGTTTTTAAAAGGGCCAAATAATTTAGGTCTGATACGTCAAGATTCAAAGAATTGCCTAATGAAATGAGTCATAACTTCTTCCTTAATTTCCAAAGCCTCCTCAATCATTGATCCATTGACTAGAATTGAACACAAAGAATTTTTACTATTTCTGCTACAAGCCATTATGTGGAAAAATCTTGTGTTTCTATCACCTTTGAGAGCCCAATTTAGTCTAGATTTCTGCAACCAGATCTATTCCAATATTTTACTCAATCTCCAAGCTTCTCTCTTAACTTCCTTTCTTCTACTAATTTCTGTGGCCAGTAAAGGTCTTTCCTCAGCTAACAAATCAAGGCCATGAGCTTCCTTCTCAATACTTTTAAGCCTGGACTCAATCGTCCCAAACACCTCTACATTCCATTGTTTTAATGACTGTTTCAGAGCTTTAAATTTCATGAGACATTTATAACCTGCCCACCCTTGAACATTAATTTCAGACCAGCTTTGCTTCACAAAAGTGAGGAACTTAGGACGTAAAATCCAAGCATTAAGAAATCTAAATGGTCGAGGGCCCCAATCCCTATCATTCTCCATCAAAATAATGGGGCAATGATTTGACAGTTGCCTAGGTAGACCCCAGAGTTTGCGATTAAAGTTTTCCAGCCATTTATGATAAACTAGGAATCTATCAATTATACTCATTTTTTCTCTATCCTGAGAATTGCACCAAGTGTACTTCCTCCCAAGTATAGGTATGTCTATTAATTCCATTTGTTCTATCATAGTGTTAAAGTCCCTCATGCCTCTATCTCTTCTGGAGCATCCAACTTTCTCAAATAAATTTCTAATTTCGTTAAAATCCCCTCCCCCCAAACACCAAGGCCCTGGGAATCTGGGTTGTAGTGAGCTCTTGTTATTCACATACTTGAACAATGTCCGTAAGTCTCTCTCTCTCTCTCTCTGTCTCTCTCTCTCTCTCAATACAGCTATGAGCATGCATATATATGTGTGTGGTCTGAATATGGGTGTTTTGCAGATGGTGGAGGTGAGAGTTCAAAACCTGGATTGCGAGGGATGTGCTGCTAAACTGAGAAAATCTATTTCTAAGCTCAAAGATGTGTTTTTAATTTACTATTACTGCTGAAAATAGTTGTAAAATTAGTTACCTAATTAAATTAGTAAGATAACCATTGGTTACGTATTCATTTTATATTTTTACTTTCATACTTGAAATTATGATCTCCAGCCTCTCTCAATATTAAAAATTCGTCAATTTCATCGGATTGAATATTTACCGTATATGTAATCCGATTAATAAAATTTGTAACAAACATAGGATCATGAGTTCAAACTAAGAATCTCAATCCAATACTATAATACTATTAATCAAACATACCCTTAAAACCTTGTATACCCTTAATACTGTGATAACCTTAATCAAACATGCCCTTAATACTATTGGGGGTGTTTGGGAACCAGAAGTTGAGGCTAAAATAGCCTCCAATACAAAAAAACATTTTAGCCACTCTAACCCAAGGATTTAAATATATATATATATATATATAGCACTCAGTGGTTTCAGCCTAGGGACAAGTAGTGAGAGCCCTATCATTTCAGAAGTAAATGACAATTTTGCCTCTTTAGACCTGTTTTGGAAAAAATAAGGTTAGGGACAAATTTATCATTTCAGTTTCAAACATTATTTCAAACACATTTTTCAATACACAACTCAAATAAAAATCCATCCTATCTTTTCAAACATAAAAACTAAAATAGCCTACTAAAATAGTCAAAAAATTAAAAAGCTTGTAAAATAGCCACTTTCCAAACACCCAAATTATCTCTTCACTATCTATCCATCCTTAGATGTTTGCAGGGGAAGCAATAAGGCAAAGAGGGATTTTCTTATGCATTGTAAGCCCAAATGCTTCATCCATA